AAGAGAAAAATCTAAATAATAATATATAATGGGTCTTGGTCAAAGTAAAAACGAAGAAAATAACAGTATGGAAGACATTAAGAATTTAAGAGTAGATGAAAAAACGAGAGCGGATACTTTAATAATAAAATCTATTCAAGAATGTGTAACGAGAATAGAAAAGTTAGAAAATCAAAAATCGGACAAACTATTATATAAATTACCTGCGTTGAATTTATGCAACGCTTCATTGATTTAAATTAATAATATTAATATGATTCATTAACATTATTAATTAAAAAATATGAATAAAATTTACTAATAAAACTTTGTCTTTCTTAATTGATGACTTTAATAGTTATTTTTTTCACTTGTAATGAAATAAAATTAGCCACATTGTCCCTATACACTAAATTAGTTTTATAAAGGTCTTTATTAAGAAAATAATAAATATCAAATAAATTATTTGATGTTAAAGTACGATTACGAAGATGATTAAAAAAAGTAAATGAGGTAGATGTAACAAATATATCATATTCAATTAATAATTTTAATGGTTTATGTTTTTGATGTAATTTATCTAACTCACTTAAGTTAAAAATATATGATATGCCGTTTTTGATAATATTTTTCATAATGATATTATCAATTTCAAAATACTGTGAATTCTTTAATTTGTAAGACTTATACACTGGTTTAAATTTATTAATATAATTTTTAATAATATTATTATTTTTTATTTTTAATAATCTAACATCACCTAAATTATAAGATAATACAAGGTTTTTAATGTCTAATGGTAAATCATAAAATATCATATAATATTAATATATTTATTTATTTAATTAGTAATTTTCAAATAATGTGAAAAGTTTTTCATAAAGATACGGTTAGGGTCTTTTTGGAGAAGGTTAATATATAAAAAGCTATGCGGTTCATCAGTTGCAGTCTCATATATTTTATAAATTAGTTTCTTGCTTTCTAGTAAATTATCACTTCTAACAATTGCTGATAATTCATCTTGTAATATTTCTATCTCTTTAAAATTTCTAACTTTATAATAAAACAAATGACTTATATTTACTCTAATAATTGGTGGGACACTTGATGATTTCTGAAGACTGACAAGCGTTGATATTCCACTATGACGTCCCCTACAGAATAAAGAATTTAACAATTTGTTATTTCTTGTTATTGCTGGATTATCAGATACATCATCCAAAATTACCAAAATATTAAATAACTTCTTCATTCCTTGTTTTTTCTGGTATTCAATTATTTTATTTTGAGTTTCTATAACTCTTTCTAAATCTTCAACATTGAACTCATCCCACCAACACGGTTCTTTATCAGTATCTACTTTCAAACCTTCCTTAATGTATTTCTTCACTGGCAACCAAGTACTATCCAAATTTACTGATGGAGACCAGATAAAAAGCCTTTCAAATGCTCCTCTATAAATATCAAGTATCATTGATACAAGTAGGGTGCTCTTTCCAGAACCAGACGGGCCTACAATCATAGCTCTCGTCGGCAATTTAGGGACGACCTCGTGCTTACTTTGCTTAAAGTCATATTTGATTTCATCAATTGGTTTTACATCAGGCATAATAAAAATAATATTAAAGACATTTAGAAAATATTTTAATATTTATTATTTTATATGAATAGAAGTTATTCAGATTATATTGATATAATAGATGAAATAGAGAATATAGAACAAGTTGTTATAACTAATAATAGATGTAAAAAAATATGTTATTTTGTTTTAGAATTAATTAAGTTTGTTATACAATATATCAAAAATAAAAATGTGAATATTAATATAAATGCCTCCAAAGAAGAAGCAAGAGAAACAAAAAGAGATTGAATGTGTCAAATGCGATAAATGCGGTCAAGCAATTAAACCACTAAATGAATTAGAGTTAGATAAAGAACATGTCAAAGTTAAATGTTGGCCGTGTTCATGTGGTCGAAACATGCATACAGTGCATACAGTAAAAAAGAAAGATGCTGACGGTAGCACAGTTGAAGAAAGTTGGGTAGAAAACTTCAAAAGTGGATTTGGTAGGTTATTTACACCTGAGAAAGAATGATGAAAAAATAATAGTTAAAATTATTTCTATTATTATTTATAATGCAAGATGTTATAAATAATATTATTAAATTCATTGATGTAAAAGAATTGAAATTAAATAATTTTATTGAAGAATATAACGAACATGATATATTATTTAATTTTGTTAATGACTTTAGAAATAGCAAAATTGATTTTAACATGTTTTATAATTCTATTAATTATGCTGATTTATTTGAACAATCAGATTTAAAATTCTATTGTAAAAGAATATATTCATATACTTTAAGATTTATTGCTAATTATGATAATAAAAATGCTATTCAGTTTTATGAAATTACATTGAGAAAAATGAATAATATTTACAAAAATAGTAACATTAATGTTGTTAATGTGTTGGAATGTATTAAATGTTTAATAATTTATATTACAGATAATATTGAAAAGTTTCATAAATATTCAAAATTTAGAAAAATTATTATTTGTATTTTAATTGGTAAATTGAATAATAATTTAACGAGTTACACAATAACTAATTTTGAATTGACTTATAATGATATATGATTTTGTAAAAATAAAAGTTTAGTTTTAAAAGTTTTATTTTATAATATAATATATATATTTACATGGATGAAGGATTAGAAAAGATTGTTAAAAAACTGAACAAGGTTTTAGAACAGAATAAGAATATTTTAGAAATCTTGCAAGAAATGGAAAAGAAGAAACCATTAACAAACAGTTATCAAAGTAAAGAAGTAGATAGAACCAATGGGGAATATAAAAATAAAAGAAATATTTATTTAAACAAACTTAATAACAAAGAAATTAAAGAACCGAAGGCTTCAACTATGACATTTTATCAAATTGACTATGACGAGGAAACTCAACTTTATTCATAAAGTTGCATTTACTCATTGAAAACTAAACATAGATATTCATAGATAATATTATCTAAATATCTTTAATAATGAACTTATTAGAGATGTTTAGCGGAACAGGCAGTGTTGGACTTGTTGCAAAAGCAATGGTTTCAATGTTATTTCATTGGATTTGAAAAATGCTGATATAAATACTGATATTTTGAAATGGGATTATAAACAATTTGATAGGAACCATTTTGATTTTATCTGGGCAAGTCCTCCATGCACTGAATATAGTGTAGCAAAAACTAGGGGCATTAGGAATATCGAATATGCAAATAGTATTGTCTTAAAAACTATTGAAATTATCAAATATTTCAATCCTAAGTATTTTGTAATCGAAAATCCACAAACTGGATTATTAAGACATCAGGAGTTTATGGATGAGTTTGATTTTAAAGATGTTGATTATTGTAAATATGGAATGCCTTACAGAAAGAGAACTAGGCTTTGGAATAACATTACAACTTGGAAACCTAGAGATTTATGTAAAAAGGATTGTGGCAACATCAGGAATAATAAACATATTGAAACAGCACAACGGCTACCATCGGGTACTAAGGAAAAATGGGGAGACAATCCAATAATACATAAACAGGAAGACCTATATAAAATACCTAGCGAATTAATTTGTGAAATCTTGGCGAGTTTGACGGATTAAGGATTTTGAGTTTGGGGCTGGGATTGAAACTTGAAATTCTTATAGATATATCCCCACCACACATACCCCATGTAGGTTTCTACGCATAGCCCATGTAGGTTTCTACACATAGCCCATGTAGGTTTCTACACATAGCCCATGTAGGTTTCTACACATAGCCCATGTAGGTTTCTACACATAGCCCATGTAGGTTTCTACACATAGCCCATGTAGGTTTCTACACATAGCCCATGTAGGTTTCTACACTTAGCCTATGTAGGTTTCTACACATAGCCCATGTAGGTTTCTACACATAGCCTATGTAGGTTTCTACACATAGCCCATGTAGGTTTCTACACATAGCCCGTGTAGGTTTCTACACATAGCCCATGTAGGTTTCTACACATAGCCCATGAGGGTTATAAAATTTAACAATGTTTAATCATATTATGACTAAATAATATGAAAAACAATTTCTTGATTTGTTCCACATTCGGTTTGAATAGCAGTATTGTTTGACATCCAAAACCAGCAATGGACAAGTCTGGAAACTCACATAGAGTATGTGTGGAAACTAACACAGAGTATGTGTGGAAACTCACACAGGGTATGTGTGGAAACTCACACAGGGTATGTGTGGAAACTCGCATAGGGTATGTGTGCTTTCATTGTAATATAATTATAACATGTAAAATCTTATACGTTGTAATTATACTGTACTTATGGTTTGTAAAGATTGAAATATTTTATTTTTCCTTGATTTGGCTGACTCTTTCTTAGTCGTGGAAACGCCTTTAAAGAAATACGGTAGTTCTATGATAAGGATGGAAGCAGTGAAAAAGTGTTCAAAGTGTAAAAATGATAAGTCTAAGGAAAGTTTCAGTGGTGATAATATGCGATGTGATAAGTGTTTAAAAGCTCAAAGAGACTATCAAAATAGACATAGGGAGAGAATGAACGAGGAACGAAGAATTAGATATGAAAACGATGAGGAGTATAGAAAAAAGAAACTGGAAAGGACTTATAGGAGAAATAAATATATTGTTAGTTGTGATGTTTGCAATTGTTCAATAAGTCAAGGGCATTTTGGAAGACATCTTAAAACAACAAAGCATCAACATAATTTAGGAAAGATACAAGCTGAGGAACAATGATTGGTAAATTAGATAAGGTTAATAGATGATAATGATGTATTAACCTTATGTAATATTGAGGGGTTTTATTGTAAATGAATAAGGTAATTTATTATAATGTGTCTATACTTGTTCAAAATAATTTTCAGGCTAGAAGTGCCATTTTATGTATTTTTTCCCCCGCCCCCGCCCCCCCGCCCCCGCCCCCCCCCCCCCCCCACCCCCCCCCCTCCCCCTACCCAACCCAGCGCCTGGTTTGCCAGCGCCAGCTGCCCGAGCAGCGGCAGCTTCTCCAGGCCCCTGCTGCGCAAACCGCCGGCGAGCCGCGCCGCCAGCGGCTGCAGCTGCCGCTCCAAAGGCCCCAAGTCGACGTGCCGCGGCCCCGCCGCGCGCCTTCGGTCATTCGGTTTTGGACTTCCGCTGCGGTTTGCGCAGCCGCTGGGTCACACCCCCCATGCCCCTCCCCAGGTTGCGGTCCATGCGGTTTTTGCCGCTGAAGCACAAGCACCCTGGTGGCTTGGGGGCCACTGGGTAACATAGCCATACAGGTTGCAACACATGTTCCAACTTGGGGGTGGGGCAGTGGAAGACTTGGATTTGGACATTCGGAAAAGACTCGGGTGGGACTTGAGGGGCTCTCTAACTTCGCCTGCTAGGCACACAGCTTCCTTTGAGTGGCGGCATTTGTCAGATCACGTGTTGGTGGGAGATGCAGTGTCAAGGGCAAAGTGAAAACACAAGCGCTTTGCTTATGCAACAAGCGGCCCTTTTCGCAGCTGCAGAGTGACCAAGTCAGCAAAAGGGCACTTTAGGATAGACCAATTTTCGTAGGGAATCCACCAAACATTGGAAGCTATGTAGAAGGCGTGCCACTGAACAACTGAGTCATACTCAAAACCTGGTATTAAACTGGTCTACCCAGAACTCATGCAAAGAATCAAGCAGGCGGCGAAAGCATCCTTTTCTGGTTGGGACTATCCCTTACTACCCTTCATCTACCCAGGTTTGACCCAACACTAACCTTTATGTACCCAGGTTTTGAGGACGTGGCTCTCGGTTTCCCTTTTGCACGCAGCCCAAGCGCCTCACCAGGAGCACATACTCCGCGCGCTTCGCCCGCTTTGGCGCCAGAGCGTGCCGGAAGAGAGCGATGTGATGGAGGCCCAGCTGGGGCTGCTTCATGTCGTATCGGAAGGACCTAAGAGATCCACATGCCCCAATAAGACCCGGAAAAAAGGTGATCCCCTTTTGGGGCCATGACCCAAATCGGAAAACCGAAAGGTTAAAAGGTCGGCAGTGGGCAACTGAGAAGAGATCCACCCATGTTCTAACCCTAGGGCTACTTAAACCCTAGTGAACAAGAATAGGTACTATACCCATACCATAAATTACCCTTTCATTAAACCTTGTGTGTATTCAAATCCCGGCAGGGGTGCCTAGCTAGGTAGTTGAGGCCTTGGGAACGAGGTGTGCTGAGGCTGTGCATGATTTACACCATCAATTCTAAAACATCGAAACCTTGTTTCAGATATTGTGATCGGTTGATCTGCTTGGATTGGTTGGTCGCTAGGGCTGTGTGCGTGTTTTGCGTCACCGGCAAGTTTTGTGCAGGAGCCACGGCCAACAAAAGCTACACCCACAATGAACAGGGGAAACTAGTGAGTCGATATGTGGTGGGCATGTAGTGGGCTCCCGATGTCCCTTCCAAGTTGACCACAGACTGCTAGATATATTTACCAAACCACGGCATCGCATCCGCTATGTTGAGATGATGCGCCAGATCCACACCACAAAGGTCCAAATAATAGTTCTATCAGTTCTACCTGTTGCCCTGACGCAGGTACTGAATCAACACTGCTTCACCCAGAAGCCCAAGCACTTTGCACAAGCATCTGGGAAAGAAAATCTTCCGTTCGAAACTGGGGTTTGCCATCGGCATCATCTAAAACCATAGTGAAAAGGGGGAAAAACAAAAACCATCCCCGAAGACGCCGACGCCGACGCAGCCGCAAACGCAGAGGCAGGGGCAGAGGCAGACACAGACAAAAAACTGCACACACACACACACAGTTGTATTTTTCCAACTGCCCACCTGAAACCCACCGTTCCATGGCGAAAGCAGTGCGGAGCTGCTTTCGTGTGGGCGATGAAGAGCACGGGTTGGGAAGAAAGAGCTGCCAAGACCGGCCCATGAAAAGCGAGAAACCTTAGTGCTTCGTTGATCCCTTGTTCAAAATTAAACTTTGAGTGGGATACCCTGGATATGAGGGCCTTGAACCCCCAAAGGCCTCAAATAATGAGGTCTTGGGCTCCTTGAAATATGTGATAAATCCCCCGAAGCTCTAAACACCTTTACTTCGAAGGGTACGGCTGGACACCGCCAAGAAACGACTTCACGTCTTCGGACTCTGGATGATCAACTCTCCAGCGGGCAATCCCATTGCGGGGCTTGCTGTCAAACACAATGCCCAGCTGCACATCGCCAGGGTTCCAGCGAAGTTCCTCTTTCAATGCTACGGAGGGGACCCACCAATGAAGTGCATGCCAGATGTTGGGATACGGCGTCCCCACCGGCAGAAGAAATAGGCGGCGATCGCTGCGCGCAGTGCCGTTCTGCAATCTCTCCCAAATTCCGCCACTTTCTCCCACCCACGCTGACCCGTCCTGGGTTGGTCTTTGATCCCTGCAAAACAGCTACACTTGTTTGATATTTTGTGGCAGGCCCAGTGCTGAAGGTTCAACTTTTAGTGTTCTAAACCCTAAGCCTAAGAGGAGAGGTGGGGAAACAGCCAGTTTCCAAAAGGCAAAATGGTTAAGGTCGTACGACTCTGCGAGTTTGCATGGAAACCAACAAGGCAAAGCTCAAGCGTGCCTAGGGCAAGAATAAAACTGGGACCGTGAAACTTGGTCAAAGTTCTGCCTCATCTAGGATGTATTTTTTCTACGATCATCAAATCGCCAAAATGGCACCACAAAAGGTCAACGTTCGGGGGCTCCTTGTTTGGACCATGTTCCTTTTCAAGGGACCCCCGAACGTCAGGTTCCATGTGAAAACGGTGGGGCAAATGTTGTACAAAGTAGGAACCAAACACCTTGAAGGAGCAGTGTAAAGGAACCAAATTCCTTGAGTTCCCCTAGTTCTGAAAGGCCGGATCACAAAGAAACTACGAGCTGCCAGTTGGATCAACCGGTAGGAACCGAGTATCCATTTGCTTAAGTCCCCTGCAAAAAATAATAATAATTCCAGTAGTGATAGATTCCCTTTAGAACCAAAAGGGGGAAAATAGTAATTATTCAAACCTTTCTTAACCAAATGGAACCGAGAATCCATGGCCCCGAATTCCGTGCACAGCGCGTGTCTGACGCTTCTGCCGCTCCCGGGCGGCACCCAGATCTTTCCCTCGGCCAGGCAGATACCGTCGAGCACCGCCGGGCCATCGCAGCGCTGGCCCTCGGGAGGGACCTTGGCCAAGGGACGGGAGCCCCGGGCAAAAGTGGCCACTTCGGGTTGGTGAAAAGCGACGAAGAACCGGGAAAACCGGCACTTTGAGGGACAAACAAAAAGCAACCACGTTTTAAGACCAATGCAGAATGTGGGAAAACCCGAGAAAACCGGCACTTTGAGGGAAAAACAACGGGAACACGAGCAGAAAGGCAAAAGGCCGATGGAAAAGGTGGCTAAGTCTGGCAATGGGGGCCAGGGCATAGGGGCTGCGGCGCCAGGCCAAAGTTCCCACCGCAGCTGCCGGCGACAGTATGGCCGACTTGGTCGCCAGGTTCATGGCACGCGCGGCGTTGAAAACCACATCATCCGCAGTCATATCCTCAGGCATGCTCCAGTTCCCTCATACTGATGATGGACGAAATCCACTTCGCACGTTTGGAAACCATGGTTGAAACATTAAAGGGGGGTCATTTCCCCCATGATGAACACTCCCATTCATGGGGGCTTTCGGAGGGAGCCCAAATAGGCCCTAACTAAGGCCTTACTGTGGTTGCAAATCCGCGAGTCTCGCACAACCGAAATCAGAAACCCCACGGAATGATATGCTTCCCCTGTAAATGCCAACGAACGGTATGGTTTTTCAAACGTAGTTTCTTAGGTGGCTCGAAATGGTTTTCGTCTATCCACAGTAGTAGGTAAGCAAGGGAACCACCAAAAAAAACTCAAAGTAAAATGGTTCGTTGTCTGCTATACAGGCAACTGGGCTCCAGTGGGAAGGGTAACAAACTTAGTTCCAAACCTCCTTGTAGAGTACATGATCTGTATGCAACCCTAGGTCAGCTTGCCGCAAACATACCTGCGCCTCGAGCCTCCAGGAACCATCCCAAACCTTCCCTGGCCCAGATCTAGGGTACACAACAAAGAAACGCTCTGACTCTCAATTTGTTTCAACGGTTTGCCCTTTTCATTCCCACAAATTTGTTTGGGGAGGGCCCTTCTTACTCGGTGACCCGCGTTACCCTCCCATCAATTACCATGGAACCTGACGATTGGGGGGGTCCTGGCTTGGACCATTTCCCTTTTTGAAGGGACCGGATCTCGAAGCTCAGGTTCCACGTGAAAAGGCTGGGAGACACTTTCCCTATACGTCGAGTTCCACAAAAAGAAGAAGAAAGGAAAACGGGGTGCCGCAAAAAAGTGTTCTGTTTGGGGAGGCCCTTCTTAATCACTGATCCCACACCCCAAAACACAACTAAATGTTTCTAGACAGGCACACCCCAAAACACCACTAAATCTTTCTAGATACAACGCCTGCTCGCAGACTCAGACAGCTCGTTCCAGCTGCTTCACCAAGGCTCCCACACCGCGAGGTTCAAGCAGTCCGCCCACGGGGCCATCACCACCAGCGCGAAGGACAAGAAGTACAGCTCCGCCGCCCGCGCCCAGTGGCGCTGCAGGGCGCAGGCCTGCGCCACCGCGATGTTCGTCGCCTCAGAGAAAGCGGCCCAAGCCCAGCTTATGGGATATGCAGGTTTTACCTCGGGTTGCAAACTCTGCTCCCCTGCTAAAAGTAAATAACTTTGGTGGTTTAATACGGAACACCCATGAGTTGAAGCAAGAAGTTAAAGTCCGAACATCCCTTGGCAAAATGCAACAAAGCTATATAGGCCTTGCCTTGGTTTCTGGAAGGGGCCCTCCGCAAAACATGAATCACTTTTTGGGGTTTAGTGGAAAATTCCCTTGCTTTACCAGAAAGTTAAAGTCTAAAGATCCAACCGGACAGGAGTCAAGTTACTATGGCTACAGAACAGGGTGCCAGAACCACCTACTAAAGTTGCCAAGGGTTTTAGGGGCGCTACTCACTTGGATGTTTGTTCAGGAACCTGGAAATAGGGCCACCTCTTGGGAGAAGATCTGGGACTCTGATAAATAGCAAGGTCATGGGCTGAGAAGCCACATCGCTGGCCACGCAGTTGCTCCGCGCGATGGCGTGGCGGAAGTCCGACAGCGCGGTTTCGGCCGCCTCCTCCGTGCAGGACTGGAGGAGCGACAGGTGGTGCGCCTGCTCGGAGGGGTTGGCCACCCAACGGGAGAAGTTCGGGTGGTACAGCCAGAGCCTCTTGATGTTGTCCCTCATGGCCTTGGGTGCTGTAGATCCTCCAGCAAAAAGTTTAACTTTTTGCAGCTTGAAAGGAAATATGAGGGGTATCCGAAAAGTTAAAGTCTAAAGATCCAACCCAATAGCAGTAGAGTGGCCATGATCATATCATAGCCTGTGCCTGCACAGGCGCACACTTCATACTGCCCCCGCCGCTTTGAAAGCACGGTCTCACGCAGCTTCTTCCAAACTCGCTTCTCCTTGCGCGCCAGCTGTGCTGCGCCTGGACTCCTCGCGGGATCGAACGGGGCGGTTCTTTGACCGCCCTGCCACGCCACGCGCAGCACGTAGAAAGCCAGCAGCTCGCCCAGCGCCCCAATGGTGTTGTCATGCTTCGTGGCGGTGAATCTCCGCCACACGCCATCCAGCTTTTGCAGGGCAAAGGTTTGCAACCTCCTCTGCCTATGCTTAGGCAACGCCTTCCGCTTGCAGAGAGGTGATGTGCACCGGACCTTCGCGACGCGGTGTTCGCCCAACCTCACGCCCCAGCGCGCTTGGAACCCGGACAGCTCCGCCTGAATCTCTGAGGACGGCACCAAACAGCAGCGCTCAAAGGTGAACACTGCATCGAAGCAAGGGGCTGCAGGCATGAAACAGCAAGTGCCGAAGGAGAATTGTCCTGACCAGCAGCCGGCATCATGCCGCATTGGTAAAATTCCCCCACCGGTGTACCCATGTGCTGCGATTCGACCTGCGCCAGCGTGTGGACGCAATTGGCAGCCGAACCGAACAAGCAAAAAATGGCCGATATGGGTTGGCCAACAGAGGGATCAAACGGTTTGCGATGGCTCTTTAATTGGGCTGGGTGTCTTCCCTCCATGATCAAAAGAGGGTAGTGGAAAACAAAGACACCCCTTGCTAAACGCAGCCTTCTTGAGCCGTGCAGGACTCGAGCATGCTCCAAACAACCTTTCTCAAATTGTCCGGTGCAAGCAGGCCATGGGAATCTTTCAGAATCCTGTCGAAAGTAAGTAGCTGCCAATGGGGGCGGGTCTTTTTAGGGCACCGCAAAAAACATGTGGTTTCCTTTGGTTTCCGTTTGAACCAACCCTGGAAAGGGTACCCTCCAAAAAAACACCCGATTGTGGCACCTGAACCGCTGCAACAGGAAACACTCTGCGGCCCTGGCTGGGGAATAAAGCCCTCGCCCATCCTGGATGCTCCTTCCAAGGAAAAGAACGGCTCCCGTTGAGGCAGGGATTGCTGCGGCCTGGGAAGAGGTTTAAACCTCTTAACCATCCACGAACAAAACCACAAATACATGTCAGCTTCCCTCCAATTGGTGGCTCGGATTCGTGGTTTGGTGGTTTGGTGGTTTGGTGGTTTGGTGGTTTGGTGGTTTGGTGGTTTGGTGGTTTGGTGGTTTGGTGGTGTGGTGGTTCAGGAGTGGATTCCTATCTACCCTCTACAAGGACCAGGGTTCAAATCCAAAACCAAACCACAAATCCAGACCACCAATTAGGGGTTGCCTGAACATGGGCCTTTCAGGATAGTACAATTGTGGCACAGGGACCTTTCCACGCCATCTGCACCAGAACGACGGAAAACAAGCACGGCTGCAATGGTGAGCATTGCCCCATCTCTCCTTGCTGCTTCCCAGTGAGTTGCAAGGGCTTCGAGAATCAGCCTAGGGAGCCCAAATAGGAAACCACCCTGAATGATTAGGGGTCATTCACTCATTCCCTGCTCAAGGGCAAACCCCTACGCACAAAAACTGCACAAGGGAAACCGTGAGGATTCCCATCTCCTGGGCGACGACCAGCTGGCCGTCCTCCAGCCACAGCCTGCTGGAACCCCAGAAGCGAATGTTCTTTGGGCCCCAGGTGACTTGGTCGCTGGAAGCACCCCTCTGCAAAAAGTGAATCACTTTTTAGGGGTTTAGTGAAAACACATTTGTTTCAACCCAAAAGTTAAAGTCTAAAGGTCCAACCCAGTAGCAATTATTCCCAAAAAACCAGGCAGAGTTTAAAACCTTTTGTCCCCTGGTGAAAACATATGGAGATAGCAAACCAAGGCAACATGGAACGCTCATCCCATGACAGGCCCTGTCCTACCGTTGCCACCAAAAAGGATGGACTTTGAGTGAGCAGTGCCCAAAAGTTTCTTGACTTTTGGTTCTACCTGGAAAAAGGCCTTGCAACCTGTATGCCACCACCCACTTCCTGAGTAGATTGCCCCAAAAACGCAACCACACTTCTTACTTGACACGCACTGTGGATGGCCCCAAACAAGTAAAACCACATTTTCCGCCTGTGGATGGCCGAAGAAGCCCAGGAAACGGACAACTCAAGAAGTCAGACAAGACCCAAAAAAACTGGCAGGCCCTCGATATTTTGGGGCCCTGCGCCTTCCCTCCTCCGCTTTTTCCAGGGAAGCGCCGCGCCGCGCCCCACGTGTTTCTTGGGGCCGCGGCAGCGCTGGAGAGCCGGGGGTCACCACAAAGTCGATCTGCCAGCGTGGCTGGGATCCGTGGCCAAGGCTAGGCTCAGATGCCTCTTGGGAAGAATGGGGATCGGCATCCGCCTGTTTTTTTTTATCGGTTGGTTGACTTGGGGGAACCCCTACCAAGAAATTGGCATCCGCTGTTTTTTTTGGTTGACTTGAAAGGAAAAAAGGAACCCGAACAAAAGGGGAAAAAGGCAACTGGGCAAGGGTTGGAGCTTTCATGTGGGACAGTAAGCAAGGAGGCAGCTCACCTGTCTTGCCCCTTTGAATGGAAAAAACAGTTTTGCTGCACCCGGCTATCTACGACCACACTTGCAATGAGAGTGAAAGCCGTCGGACAAGGCGATGGACATCCAATCCGCAGCCTGGATCTGCAAAATGGCAACATCTAACATGACTTGACACCAACAGTCAGAAACCTGAGGAAGTCAAGGTTCATTATCAAGGTCCTCCAGTAAAGAGGTTAGAATAAGGGTACCCTTTTCTCGGTAAGCAGCCTGTGGGCGCCTTAAGGCCCCCCTCCTACAAGCCTCTACCCAAATTATGGGCTATGACCCATTTTTTGGGCAGAGGGAAGGGGGGGGGTCCAAAAAGGGAAGGGGCCCCACATCTGGGTTGTCCTCAGATCCCCCGCAAAAAGTTTAACTCTTGGTGGTTTAAATGGAAACTACCACTAAGCACTAGGCTAAAAAAGCTAAGGAATCGGATGGCTGGGAGCCACCAAGACATTTGGTGCCTTTCAGTCTGTGGCTTCGGCCTGCAGTGAGGCCAGCTTCGCCCTGTCCAGCTTCACCTTGGGAGCATCCACAGGTGGGATCGCCGAGCCGACCACTTCGCCCGGGATTATTTGGCTGTGGATCAAAAATAGGTACCCAAAATGAAACCCCGGTAAGTGGAAATATGGATTAAAACCTGCGGTCCAATGGTGGCTGAACTTTGACCCATACCCATTTGACTCCGCGGCGTCCTTGTCAACAAATACTTGCTGGTGCGATACGCAGGGAATGAGAAAGGGAATGAACCCCTACAAATCCATCCAACTGGTGGTTTCCTTTAAGCGAATCCCTGGGTTCATTCCCACATTCCCTACTGAGCACCAGCCAAGAATACTAATAGCATATCGGCGCCCGGTCCAGGTCACCGATTGTCAGCCATACCCATCGCGCCTTAATAGGCGGCGGTGAGTTGGTTTTCGGTTTTGATATCGGTCAGGCCGACCTTCTTGGTTTTTAGTTCTTGTGTCTCCTCAGTTTGTAGTGGTTTAAGGCATAAGGGTGAACATTTAATTGGGAGAGTCTTTGATTTACTTTGGGATTGTTTGTTGTTTGGCTCCCGGGGGGGAGATTTTACAGCATTTACTAACAACAGCACCATCAACAATGCCAGCATCGGCTAAACACCCTGGAATTTCAACCGGCTGTTGTTTTAGGCTTTAGTTTAGGGCATGTTGCAGGTGTTTGATTCAGGGATTAGGCATGTTTGGTGGATTTCAGGCTTGATTAGGGTGGGTTTGGGTGTGGGTTTAGGGTAGGTTTAGGGTTGTTTGGGGTGGGTTGAGGGCTGATCTCTGGTGCGGCTTAGTGTTGGTCTAGGGCGGGTTTGGGATAGGTTTGAGGGTTTGTTTGGGGGCTATTTAGGTAGAAGAGTGCAGCATATCTTCAGGGTGGGTTAGTTTCTTTTTTAGTGGTGGGTTTAGGGCGGGTTGAGCTTCCAAAAGCCACGGAAAGATACCGACACCACAAACAGCTGCCAAGAACCCAAAGCAGAACAAGTTTCGCATAATTTTGCAACTGGAGGGATGCGCCTTTACATAAACAGTAAGAGACATGTTTATTTACTTCCAACTGACAAAGAGGCACCATCCATAAACGGAATCAGCGGGGCTTTGAAAGGCCCGTCCATGGCTTGGAAACAATGCAACACGGGCATTGCTGTGAATAACCCTCCTGGATTGGTGGATGATGGTGGCAAGTTCTTCCAGGCGCTACCTATTTGGAGGCTGCCTCGCGAGCAGCCTGAAAGTGCAAAACATTTTAACGGCCGGAACAGGACATGCCATGAAATGGAGCAAATTCGTTTCCGATTCAAGCCAGGCAGGGAAACCAGCCGAACCCAATCCTCTAAACCCAGAAAACCCGGCCCTTCAAATCTGAGGTGTGCTAAGACCAGCGCAGTCAGGGCGGAATCTTCCGCTTGAAAGTTGAGCCTAGGTCAGGAAAAATGCCTTGACAGCTGAAGAGCTTCACTCCCTGCCTGCAGCCCTGCGAGGTGACCTCCTTGACGTGAATGCACCTCAGGGAACTCTCCCAAAGAGGCGACTCCGTGGAAGCTCCCAGCCCTTTGGAAGCCTTGGCTCCATTCAGAGAGGTCTCCTGAAAGGGGCTTCCATGTGAGTCTGAGAGAGTGCCGAATGATTCTAAACTATCCAGGCATCTTTTGTGTTACGCGATGGGCAAGATTCGAGTTGCACTGCTGCACTCTTGTCTCGTGCCCACCACCAGCTGAGGCCCAGCTGATGAATGTCCAGCGCCACTTCATCCTGACCGGGTCTGCCCGAAACATTGACATCAGGATCACGCTTTCAAACCATCACCGCCACCTACACCCACTTGGTAATTATTGACGTGTGATCATTGAACACTAGTGCTAGTGTGTTCGAAAGCCCCGATCAAATCAAGATCACATGGCGCAAGACTCCAACCAATCACTAGCACCCTCAGAAAATTCCCACTGACATGTGCAACCAACCTCTTGCAGTAGTGCCGTACCTCAGGGGAGAAGAAAAACGACAACACAGAATACCCCCCCCCCCCCTGTGGACGCCTGCGCTGCTTCATCCCAAGTAGACCACATGCTTTTCACATCCAAACTGCTCCAAACCACTAAGCTTCCGTTTGGTGAAGACCCCTGGAAAACAACATATTTCCAGTAGTGATCAATTTCTTGGGGAAAACATATTCTTAAGCAAATGGAAGGGACCCTTCTTTCTTAACGGAAACTGACAAACAGTTGAACACCCTGATTCGGCTTCTCCGGGCGACCTTCAGCTGAAAAAAACAACTTAAGCAACTGGAAACAGGCGGTCCCGGTACACCGCTGACGCGAAGTTCTGTTGGGCGCCTCAGCGTCCAGCTGCAACTCGCAATGCCCCGTGAGGCTGCGCTCCTCGCAGCCGAGACCCTGCAAAACTGGGCCTGAAGGGGATGCCGTTTCTGTGTGTGTTTTCCCTGTTCATTTATTTATTTATTTGTTGATTACCATTATTATCATTGTTGTCATTATTGTTATGATTGTTTCTGTTTGTTCTTGGGGGCCCGGCCCTGGACCAGGGAATGCTGGCCCTGGACCCAGCATTCATATTCCTCTGGTTGATCTCCTGTCTGGCCTGGGGCGAGACCCCCGCAAATATCACCCTGTGGATTTCCATGGGAAGAAAAAACACAGCATCCTTTTTTGGTTGGTTGACTTAGCGGAACCCTTCCCCCCGAAAAATGAACAAAGGGGGGGGCGCCACGGGACAACTGGGATCATAGTCTTGGAACAAGAATGTGTGCACACCAGTCGTGACAGGGAACAGCAAGTCTCCATTTCTTACGTGCCAAATGGACAGATCAAGCCGAATCACGGCGAAGTGCCTCAAAGTGGGCGACAAAGGTCAGAGCCTCAGCACCCAACTGGTGAGTTGACCTTGAGATGCCCAGTGGATTTCCACGGAAAAAAAAGGGGCATCCATTTCAGGTTGGTTGAGGTTGAACGGGAACCCAAGGGAAAAAGGGGGCGCCACTGGGCAACTGGGGTTTTCATCTGCCTTCGCACTTGACCACCAATCTAGGGGTGCCTTCCCCATTCTTTCCAGGGATCCGATTCTTTTCAGGAACCATCAAAAGCCCAGGGAAACAGATCCGGTTTTTAGAAAAGAACGACGGTTGAAACGAATGGGGAATCAACCCCTAGAAAAAACCTCAAAACCGTTTTGGGAGGGTCCCCTCAAAAAAAAGACGAGCCCCCCATCTGGCAACCTCCTAGAACTAATGCTCTCAGGCTGGGGCAGTTTCCGCTGGACCGGCTGGCCGGTGTGCCTCCGCGTGGCCAGCGCGCACTGAGTCCCAATCTGGAACCAACAGTCAGCCGTATTACCGTCTGGTCGGTTTGCGTGGAACCCATGAACAAATCCCCGTTCAAGGAAACACGACTTTCTGGACGCCCCTGTGAGGCCCCATGTTTATGGATTTCGCTTTTTGAGCGAAGACTTTCACGTCAGCAGAAATGCAAAGCATGTGCTGCTCGGCATCCTGACAAAATATGAGCCATAGCCGAGCCGTTGAGTCGACCGACCGACCTGCCTCCCCTTCGGCCATTACGCCAAGCGCGCAGATGGACACGGGGAAACGGTTGCGGCTGAGGCATAGGTGTCTTGTTGGGGTGAGTGTTGTGAAAGATATGATGACTCTAGTTGCAGTTCGCTTCCCAGCGCATACCAGTGCCACCTATTCCTCCAAAACGTCTATTTGAGGCGGGATAAACATGAATCTTATGTCAAGTAATTCGTGGGTGGCTTGGTTGGATTGGATTCAGGTCCCGGCATGACAAGTACCATAACAATAGAACTAAAGTTGACCCGGGGATGGGGCCTCTCCAAACGTGATGAATCCCCACTAACCCAGGGACACTCCCATGTTAATAGTCTTGGGTTCATTAATCCGAGGTCAAGACTACCCCACAAACAACACAGCTGGGCTGGGAAATGTGTGCAGCAATCCAGGGTGCAAACTGCTGCGGCGAGGTGGAAAGGAGTCGCCACTGCCAAAAAGCATCTGCTTGTTGGAGGTCAGCCTGCGAGGGGCAAAGTCACATTTAAAAAGCAGCCATACAATCAGTTTGAGTCCCACTCAACCTGGGTAGAAAACCCACGGATAGATGCGGATTCGCAGCTGCAGACCTGAGAACACCATACTGCCGGTGCAAGTGCTCCGTCTAAACACAGCATTGTTGCGTGACAGGAGGTTCCACATGTGGACTGATGCCTGTGGTCCAGCGACTAGAGGCACGGCCGATCCTCCCTGGTTGGCACAGGATCTTTCTTCTGCAGCTGAGCACTTCTCCGAATTCGATGAATTTCTTGCGCAGCGAAGCACCCGCGCCAATTAAGAACAGCACGGGGCTTGCGGGCCCCTGCCGCTACATGGGAAGCCTGACAGGCCTAAAACGACAGGGTAGGGGTGGTCATCAAAACAGCTGCCCCTCTCCGTTCACCCACTTTCAGTGACTTTCAGTATTGGCCATCATTCCCACCGTGGAGTGGAATGAAACAGAACCACCTCCACCCATCCAAAAAACCACGGCTGGTGAAACCTCTGGTCGCGCTCATGCGCCGGCTTGGCTCTCGGGCAACCCGATCTGTCGCGCCGCATGCGGCCGGAGCCACTGGACCCAGGCCTCCGACCTCGGCTCGAGCGCTGAACGCGTCCACTCCGACCCAGGAGAAAGTGGGTGAGGCCCTGTAGAACCACCGTACAACAAGGGTGTGGGTCAAAAATAGGTACCCAAAATGGAACCCTGGTAAACAGAAACAAATACTCAAACCTGCCGTCCCCTGGTAGTCGAATTTTGACCCACAGCCACAAAGGAGAGGGTACAAACCATGAATCAAAAGTCTAGTTCCCCCTTTCAAGGTGTGAGTGGAAAGGGTATAAACGATTATATATGCACATATGGCAAGAAATAATTGTTTCCTTCAGAAAGGTGTAGAGGTAGTGGAAACCCTCCTAGATGGCTGGAGCGGCAGGGTGGTGCCGGCTCCCTCCCTCCTTGCAGAACCCCGCCACATTGGAGGGGCATGTCCCCCTCAAACACCTCACTGCAAGGAACTCACGGCCTATCTTTAAAGCCCCATGCTGGTTTTGATCGTTTGCCTCCCAAGCCCGAAAACGACGAAACTCAAGAGACGCGACTCAACATTGGCAAACAAATGGTAAGTAATTGAAACCGAAAAGATCGAAAAGAGGAATGCCGCAACCCCTGTACTGGGCCTGGGAAAATGGATGTGCAAAAGATAGAACGCCTCTCTGTCCATTCTCCCTGAGAAGAAGGAAGCCATCCTCGTAGAAAAGCGGTTGTGACCGAATGATTGTTTGCCAAAACGGTCAAGGTTCAAGGCCCGAGTCACCCGCCCTTGTCACGAGAGTCAGTTCATGCAACGCTAACATGAACGCAAAGCTTGAAGCAAATCAGGCTTCTTGCATACAAAAGGAGTTGCTCCTGCAGGAGCCCTAGACTCTAGACTCGACCAATCCCCCCGGGGAGCGCGCACTGAGATGGCTGGGTCCCTGGAGGATCGGAAAGTGCACCTGCCGGGCACGTGGATTCATCACACATATTTACACCCAGTGTCTAAGGCTAAAGGAAAAAACCATCAGGAACATCACCCTTTTTTTGGGGGGGCCCCCCTAAAATCAGTCGCACCCATAGGGTGTATGCACGAAATCCTGCACCTCTTTGAAGCCATTAAGAAACCATTGTTTGTCGGTATTTGCCGGGGAATCATCATTCCAGGCTTTCTTAGGTGGTGCTGGATTTGGCCCATCCAGTATTTTCCTGGGCCGCAGGGGTGCCAGAGTTGGTCTTGAGAGAGTCCAAGGACAACATTGTGATTGATCGCTTGGGGAATCGGATTCAAAGGCACCCGAACCACTGCGGGACTTCTCAGTTTCAGATGGAAAGAAACACTTCGCACCAGTTGGTGCAGCCTAGAAGCCAAAGACTACCCGTGCATCCCTTGCGCCAGAAAGTCTCGCATGCGCCTTTTGCCCTCCTCGACCCAAATGTCCACCTCAGCTCACACGCGCATCTGGTTCTCCCGAAGCAATCAAATCCACCGCTTGCTCAAAGCGCTACGACAATCCATGGGAACAATATATCTTCAGCACATGGAAGGGCCTAAGCTGTCAATCGGGGTGCAAATTCCTTGCTGGCTGTTGACCCCTCTGCAAAAGGTGTATTTTTGTGGGTTTAATGGAAACCCCCTTGATTTTCCAAAAAGCTAAAGTCTGAAGATCCAACTCAGTCAATAACAGTCAAAATTTGTCCTCCCCGAAAAAAACCACGACTTGAAGCCTGAAGCTGTTGGATTTCCGAGCGCGTGTGAGCTCGCGACCGACCAGTGGTCGTGCTCAGCGCTCCATTTCCGCAGCACGCCGTTGGCAGGCGTGCCAAAGATGTCGAAGACGGTAATCTGTCGGATTCAGCCAGGCGAAAACACAAAACGGTAATCTGTCGGATTCAGCCAGGCGAGAAGTTGCGCATGGTGGAGGTCTAAGGGCTGAGTAATCATCTTGGACACTTTTTACTGCGCCTTTGCGTAAAATGCAAGTCCCATCTGGAAAAGGAAAGGCTCAGGGATTTTAACACTCTGCTCACCCTCTCCTCTTCAGGCTTGTAACATCTTAGATATGACATTCAGTGCCGTGGAATCCAGCTGCCTTGCTATTTGCCAAACCTCAAGACCCCAAGGCTAAAAGTGAACCAACAGACCCAGCTTGAGCTTCGGGAAGAAAATCAGGCCCTCCCCTTTAAGAAGGTCCTCCAACAGGCAAAGGGGCATATTGTCAGCATCAGCGGTGTCCCCAATTGGATGCGTGTGGACGATACTTCAAACGGGATGTCTGCCTTTCTTCCACGCCGGAATCGCCCATATTTGTAGGGTTGAAACACGGCCTCTCCCACAAAAAAAAAATTGAGGGACACCGTAAACACATCACCCCCCGCCCACCCTCCCCCCACCCACACAACACACCACACTGTGGAAAGACTCAAACATACCCAAATTGGAGCCGTGCTTGGGGGCAGTTTGTTGAGAACAGTTGGATGCTGTCCGCCTCTTGTCCAACAGCTCTGTCCAACATCCAGGCGCGCAGCTCCTGCACAAGAGCTGCAACTTGCTAAACGAGGGAATGCGCCTGCTAATTGGTTGAAAGGGAGTGTCAGACACTCCATCCGCCTTTGGGACCATTTGGATTTGTTCCATAGTTCACCTGTTCCCTCCCTTGTAATTTTCCTGGGGTTCATCCCCCAGAGAACCAACAAGACGATTCACGCCAAGGGCACGATGGGCTTCCACAAATCGAGCGCTGCTAAAACCCATTCACGTGTGGCAGTACCAAGATGGT